CTGTAACCTGATCCTGAACAAAAAAGATGGATGGAGGTCAAGTTCTGGCTTTCCATTCATTGCAGGATATTTTTGACTCACTTTGACATATGTACAGAAATATCTCCATGAAAAAGAATTTATGTACATATTAACATGTATTTATTTTAAAAAACAAACAAACATAAATGACAAATAACACACCATATAAAAAAAACACAAGTGTCATACAGTATATACAAGATGCATTGTGATGAAGACAAAATTTCAGTAAAACTTCAGTAAAAGTTGAAAATGCTGATGGTGTGTGTTGGCAGAAGAACATTGAGGTTAACAGTATTTACAGTTGTGGTCTGAAGTTTACATTCACTCACCAAGGGCATTATTGCCATGGTAACACTGAGCTTTTAATGGTTTTTCGCGCTGTTCTTTTCCCAGAGTGGAATAATTGAACATTATACCTTTAATGACTTAAAAAAAATCATAATTGGGTCTAGATCAGGGGTGGGCAATCTCAGTCCACGAGGGCCGGTGTCCCTGCAGGCTTTAGATGTCCTCGAACCAACACAGCTGATTCAAATGGCTAAATTAGCTCCTCAACATGTCCTGAAGTTCTCCAGAGGCCTGGTAACGAACTAATCATGTGATTCAGGTGTGTTGACCCAAGGTGAGATCTAAAACCTGCAGGACACCGGCCCTCGTGGACTGAGATCACCCACCCCTGGTCTAGATGTTTATATATAGAATCAATACTGTATATACATGTACTAACTTAGTTCCTTAAGTTACTGGTGCTGGATTTATCCCTATGATGTATTGTATGTAACTTCTTACCACAACTGTAGATTAAGGCAGGTCTACATTTTCACATTTAACTCAAACAAACAAACAAACAAACAAAAAGCTACTTTAAAACAGAGACATTCAGGGGCACTTCAAGCAGTTTAAAGAGCTGTATCTCAACCACTGAACGTCAATTCATGCAGCATACAAATCTTTAATCTTTCCTTTAATTTCTCCTTCTCACGTTTAGCCCTGAAGATAAATAGTCAGTATTTCATTCTAGTTTTATTTTCAGTACAGACTCCCAAACTCACGGTAATATACACAGCTAAGAAGTACTGGAAAGGTTCAAAAAGTACATAATTAGAAAACATTAATAACACCATTATTGTGTCAGAATTTCCGGGGATCCATATTGTTTAGATTGATGAATTTTTGACATTTGGACCTGGAAATATTATTGTGAAGATAAACACAACAACAAACACAACATGCAACTGAAAACGTTGTGCTCTCAGAATACCAATTTCTACATACCAGTTACTTATTGTTGTGCTTTTAATTTAATATAGACTTATGTATTTTATAGAGTTGGGTGTTTTGAAACGTGTTGATTGCTGTGTTGAGACGTAACTTTTACATTAAAGGCAGTTATTCTCCATTTCTGCCTTGTGTTGCAGTTTTTACAGTTTGACTACCATCTGGTGAGTAGCTTTTGAGTGTTTGCATATAATCTCATGTCTTACATGCAAACTATGGATAACAAACTATGGGTAGTCTGCTAGCAACCAAAGCCATCACAAGGAGGCTTTTGGTACAGCACCCTCTTCGTGACCTATTTTATCCATTCACACCGATTCACACAAGCACTTTTTTCTATGTAAATGCTTTCTATCTGTCACACATTCATACCCCGATGGATGCATCAGAGAGCAACTTGCCCAAGGATATTTGACATATTGACTGGAGCAGATGGAGATCCAACTACCAACCTTAATTTGCAGCTGACATCCAAATTTTTCCCTTGCAACTGTTGGTTGCATCTTGAGCTACATAAGCATGACGTCACTCAGCACGTAGCCAGTATTGGTATCTTCATCACGTCAACTCAGATGACATGAGTTGTTGTATTACATAGAAGACATATAGCACATACAGTACATCTTAGTGGTTCAGAAAAGCCTTGTCAACTATGTTTTGTCACTGAGATGGAGTGTGAGCATCAGCTATGCACAAACTTGGGCCCCATAATGCTGATTTTGCTATAGATTATGCAGAGCTCCTTTCAGTAATCCTTACAAGTGAATTAGTAAATTGAGAGCACTTATTTGTGGTGTGCTCTTCAGATCACCTGACCTTAACAGAAAGTTGGTTTTGTGGCTCCAGAGACTCCTAATAAATCACTAAAAGTAACCAATTCTGAATGCTTAGTAGACCCAGAATTAAATTAAAACCTGTTCACATTAGCTGCAACCGTCATCGACAAAATTCCACAAATCCACACAGCACTTTGTTTACCTTGCAATGTTCAAGTGAAAAAACAAAAAAACAAAAAGAAGAAATAATGCACCTCGACTTTGCATGAAGTCAGTGAGAACGCATGCCAGCATGCTACTGTATACAAAGGAATCAGAAGAAGGTTGACTCTACAAGATGAAGAGCACTTGAATTCGTTCATTACACTTTAACCCTTCACCCAGTGTGTGCACCGAGCATCAGCCAATCAGATCACAGTTCAGTGTCTTGCCA